TCATCAGTGCAATAACCTAAATTAATAGCTTCACCCTCTTCCTTGGCACAGCCAATAATTGTGAAGAATTTGCAAGATATGATGGGAAATGTTATATCTCAAATTAGGGCAGAAATGAAAGAGATTTTAGAGAAAAATAATAAGATTTTGAGGCAAGAGATAGTTTTGGCTCTAAAAGGAGTTGCCTCTGTTCTTGAAAAGCTGAACTCTCGTGTAGAAGAGGTAACTGAAAAAGTGGAATTGATGGAGGGAAAATTTGAAAGCATGGAAAAAGAAATGGAAAATGAGATTCTTATGCTTCAATATAGACAAATGGAATATGCCTTAAGAATCAGAGGTTTGGGAGAGTCTGTGCAAGGAGATCTGAGAGAGATGGTTGCAAAGGACTTTGCTGTGATTTTGAATAGAGAAAAAGAGGAAATATTTAGTGAAATTGAAAAATTATTTAGAGTTAACTCTGTGGTGGCAGTGCAAAAGAATTTGCCAAGAGATGTGGTAATTTACTTTGGGAAAAGATCCCTGCACAACGAAATTATACAAGCTTTTTATAAGAAGAGATTTCAAATTGCTTCACAAGATGTTATAATTCTAAAGGAGATCCCATCTAAAATTTTAAGAAGAAGAAAGGAGTTTGCTTTTTTAGCAGATGAACTTAAAAAGAGACGAATCTTGTTCAGATGGGATGTTCCGATTGGAATGGTGGTGAATTACCTGGGGATATGTTATAGACTTAATACTGTTTCTCAAGCAAAAGACTTTTATACTTCGGTCCTGGGGGTATGTTCATCGCCATCTATTAAGTTTAAAGCTTTGGAAGAAAAGAAGGTAGAATTGCAGTCTGAAGAGCCTATACTTATGAAAATTGGGAAACCTCAGTTTGAGGGGCCTCAACAAGTTGAGATGGAGGAGCAGAGGATAACCTGTGCAACATATAACTGTAAAGAAAAGGAGCAACAGAAGAAGGTTAAGGAAGCCTCACAACTATTGGTTTCTGAATCTGCAGGAGAAGTAGGATTTATAAATTTTTTGGAGCAACCTTTAAGGGTAGAATTGCAGTCCGAAGAGCCTATATTAATGAAAAATGGGAAATCTCAGTTTGAGGGGCCTCAACAAGTCGAGATGAAGGAGCAGAGGACAACTCCTGCAACATATAATCGTAAAGAAAAAGAGCAACAGAAGAAGGAGTTTAAGGAAGCCTCACAAGTATTGGCTCCTGAGTCTGTGGGAGAAGCAGGATTTATAAACTTTTTGGAGCTACCTTTAAGGGCAGATTTCAAAGCACTTCTTTCGAGATTTATGGATAAGAGAGACTGACAAGGATGGAGATCGAATGAACATTCTAGATAAGAAGTTTAAGTATTTAGTTTAAGTATTCAAAAGAGTACTGAGTCTGTGGGAGAAGCAAGATTTACAAACTTTTTGGAGTTAGCTTTAAGGGCAGTTTTCAAAGCACTTCTTTTGAGGTTGATGGACAAGAGAGACTGATAAGGAATGTGTTTATTGTGGATGGAATTTGTTATTGGTAAAGATTTAAATGTGTATAAGGGAATTTTAATGGTTTATGGACAAGAGAGACTGATAAGGAATGTGTTTATTGTGGATGGAATTTGTTATTGGTAAAGATTTAAATGTGTATAAGGGAATTCTAATGTTTTAAGTAATGTTCAAATTTGTGTTTTGGAGGGAGTTTATAAAGAATGATGGATAATAACATAAGTATGATATGAAAAGGTTCAGAGTATATTATAATGTGTTTAATGATTGGGGTTTTATTATTATTATTATTATTATTATTATTATTATTATTATTATTATTATTATTATTATTATTATTATTTAACTTGTTTAATTAAATGTACCTAGATTTGTTTAGGATTTATATGTCTTTTAAGGTTTTTTTTTGATAGGAGAGAAGATTATGGAGATTGAATGAAAATCTTAGATAAGAAGTTTAGGTTTAAGTATTTAGTTTAAGTATTCAAAGAGTATTTAGTTTTAATGGTATAATGAAGGTTTATATGTTTATTTTTGTGTTCTAGGATAAAGAAAGAGGGAGAGATTAGATTTTATATTGTAGGTATAGATATTCAAAGAAAGTAATGTTTAAATTTGTGTTTTGGAGGGAGTTTATACAGAATGATGGATAATAATATAAGTATGATAGTAGAAAATGTTTAGAGTATATTATAATGTGTTTAATGATTGCAATTATTATTTTTTAGAGACGATAACCTATTTAATTTAATGTATTTAGATTTGTTTAGGATTTATATGTGTTTTAAGTTTTTCTTTTCTTTTTCTGAAAAATTTTAATTAAGCATGTACTCAGCTCTGGGAAGGTTGGGGGAGGGTTTGGGAGGTTTGGGGAGGTGGGGGAGGGTATGGGAGGGTGGGGGGGTTTGGGGAGGGGATTTGTTTTGTAAAATTTAAAAAACTTTCAATAAAAAAAACATTGGAAGTTCTAAAAAAAATAGAAGAGAATAACAGAGTTGGAAGGGACCTTGGACATCTTCTAATCCAACTCTTATACCATTTCAGACAAATGATTGTCCAATCTCTTCTTAAAAACTTCCAGTGTTGGAGCATTCACAACTTCTGGAGGCAGGTTGTTCTACTAATTAATTGTTCTAACTGTCAGGAAGTTTCTCCTTAGTTCTAGGTTGCTTCTCTCCTTGATTAGTTTCCATCCATTGCTTCTTGTCCTGCCCTCAGGTGCTTTGGAGAATAGCTTGATTCCCTCTTCTTGTGGCAGCCCCTGAGATATTGGAACACTGCTATCATGTCACTCCTAGTCCTTCATTTTATTAAACTAGACATACCCAATTCCAGCCACTGTTCTTTATATGTTTTAGCCTCCAGTCCCCTGATCAACTTTGTTGCTCTTTTCTGCACTTTTTCTAGAGCAGGCATGTCAAACTGCCAGCCCACGGACCGGATGCATCACACTGAAACCGCGCCCACTGCTGGCAATGGGGAAAAAGTCCTGATACATTGCATGATGTCATGTGATATTGTGAGTTTGACATGCCTGTTCTAGAGTCCCAACATCTTTTCTAAACCGTGGTGAAAAAAACTGGATGCAGTATTCCAAGTGTGGACTTACCAAGGCATTGTAAAGTGCTATTAACTCTTCACTTGATCTTGATTCTATCTGGTGGTGGGATTCAAATATGTGAACAAACTGTTCTCATGTGAGAATGCTGCTTCCAGAAGTCCATTATGGGCCTGGGGAACAAAAAATTAGCTACTGGTTCTGCTGAAGTGGTGCGAACTGGCTGAATCCCACCACTAATTCTATCCCTCTCTTAATGCAGCCTAGCACTGTGTTGGCTTTTCTGGCAGCTGCAGAACACTGCTGGCTCATATTTAAGTGATTGTCCACTAGGACTCCGAGATCCCTCTCACAATTACTACTATTGAGCAAAGTACCACCTATACTGTACCTGTGCCTTTGGTTTTTCTTGCTTAAATGTAGAACCTTACATTTTTCACCATTGAATTTCATTTTGTTAGATAGCGTCCAATGTTCAAGTCTGTCAAGATCTTTCTGTAACTTAAATCTATCTTCCGGAGTGTTATCTATTCCTGCCAGCTTGGTGTCATCTGCAAATTTGATGAGTTCCCCATCTATCCCCTCATCCAAATCATTGATGAAGATGTTAAAGAGTACTGGGCCTAAAAAGCTAAAAGTAAATCAAGATATTATTGAATCAATATTTCTAACTCAAGGAATTTAATGAATATAGGTCAAGAAATTTGGGTATAACTCTCAGTCAAGATTGTATGATGTATTTTGATGTCTCTCATTCTTTAAATGAATTAATATCTGAAATATTAACATTTATGTTAACTGGCTGCAGTTTCTTATTCTCTGCTCAAGCATGAAAACTTGTACCAGTCTTCTTTGAATGTATTTTAGAAGCTCAAGACTTCAGCGTTCTTATGAAACATATTCTGAGTTGCAATTTTATTTCTCCTTTGAACAATTCTATGGAAAATTATTTTAATAGACAGCCTCTGATTTTAGTAATGCTATAAGAGTTAGTTAGAATTAGATATGTGAGTTAGATACACAGTTTTGGTTATTGCATCATAATTATTTTGCATTTGTTTTTTTTATGTTGTGGAGAAAGATTTTATCATATTTCCTTTTTGTCTTTTCTTCTTGTTAGCACCCAGAATTATTTATTCAAGTAACCATATATCCAGTAGTGGGATTCAGCCGATTTGCACCACTTCAGCAGAACCTGTAGCCAATTTTTTGTTGCCCAGGCCCAGAATGGACTTCCAGAAGCGTCATCCACACAAAGAACCATTTGTTCACATATTTGAATCCCTCCACTGCATATATCATCTACTTTCTCCAAAGAATCAGGGGTAGGAATGGATTGCTTTAAAACAATATGAATAAAAAGTACATCAAATATACAGGAACAAAGGAATGATGGCTCAAACACACTTATAGACCCTAAACCAAAAAATAAGCTTGTCGATAAATACAGTCTTGCTTGTTGGCAGTACATGAGTTTTCCAACACTTCTAATTCTTTTAAAGTGTGAGTTGTGTAAAACTCATAGCAACTATTCTGTTGAATTTTCCTGATAGGTCTATTGAGAACAGGTGATGAAAATACCTTGGGGGTATGATTCCTACTCCACAGGGTTTCCAGGTTGGGTCCTGTCCAGGGCTTTCCAGCCAACCTCAGCTACCCATCACAGTGCTCTTTCAGGTGGACCTTGGTCTAAAATATGTTGTTCTGAGGTCCTCTAAATCAGCATCTATTATATCAAACAGAAATGTCTGCAACTTCTTCCTGTGAGTTGAGGACAGGATATTAAATAATCATAAGATCAAAAAAGGATTGTTGATGAGATAAGCAATGCAAAATGTGAGCTGAGATCTCTGATTTAAGTTTTCTGTTTCTTCAAAGAAATTCCCGTAGATCTGTGGCTGAGTTTCTGTGAAGACTAGCATTTCTTCGCAGAGTGATTGTGCAAGAATGGGCTTCCCTTGATTAGTCTGTGGACTTCCCATAGAAGACATTTAGATGATCTGCTTCAAAGGAGAAGGTTCATTTTAGAAGTCAAGATACTCAAGCATGGCCTTTGAAGAACAGTAATTTCTGAGAGACCTTAATTTCCAAATCAAAATTTGGAAGAAGATTCATCTCACTCATCATGGATGCCTTTGGCCTTGTCCCTATGCTAAGTGAGTTACCTCTTCTTCTGATCTTCAACTCTTATTGTTTTTGTTTTTTTGTTTTTAAATTTCTGCTCTCACATTATTCTTATTAAAATGAAAACTTTGATTTGCCAAAATTGCAGATAAAGATGCATCCTGGGTACCCTTTTATGAGCAAAAGACATTTACAAGGTCTCTGTGAATTAGCTTTGAAGCTTGCATAGGTGAATTTCCTTTAAAATCAGAACAGAGCTGGAAGGGACCTTGGAGGTCTTTTAGTCCAGCCTCATGCTCAAGCAGGAGATCCTATACCATTCCAGACAAGTGACTGTCCAGTTTCTTTTTAAAAATCTCCAGTGATGAAGCACCCACAACTTCTGAAGGCAAGCTGTTCCACTGGTTAATTGTCCTCACTGTTAGGAAGTTTTTCCTTAATTCTAAGTTGTTTCTCTCCTTGATTAGTTTCCATCCATTGTTTTTTGTCCTGTCCTCTGGTGCTTTGGAAAATAAATTGATCCCCTTTTCTTTGTGGCAGTCTCTCAAATACTGGAATATTGCAATCATGTCCCCCCTAGTCCTATTTTTCTCTAAACTAGTCAAACCCAAATCCTGTAACCATTCTTCATATGTTTTAGTCTCCAGGCTTTTAATCATCTTAGTTGCTTTTCTTTGCACTTTTTCCAGAGTCTCAACATCTTTTTTGTAATTTTGTAACCAAAACTGGATGCAGTATTCCAGGTGTGGCCTTACAAAGGCTTGATAAAGCGGTACTAATACTTCATGTGATTTTGATTCTATGCCTCTGTTTATACAACCAAGGATTGTATTAGCTTTTGTGGCTGCTGCTGCACACTGCTGACTCAAACATGATTGTCCAATAGGAATCCTTCTTACAATTACTGTTTTTGAGCCAGGTTTTGCCTAATCTATAGTTGTACCTTTGGTTTTTCCTGCCCAGGTGTAAAACCTTGCTTTCTCCACATGAAATTTCATTTTGTTGGATAGGGCCCATTGTTTAAATCTATCAAAATCTTTTTGTATCCTGAGCTTGTTTTCTGGGGTGTTGGCTATTCCTGACAGCTTAGTGTCATCTGCAAATTTGAGTTCCCTTTCTATTACTTCATCTAAGTCATTTATGAAGATATTGAGGAGTATGGGGCCTAAGGCAGAACCTTTTCATACCCCACTGCTTACTTCCCTCCATGTAGAGGTAGTACCATTAAGGATTAGATTAAAAATTGGTCAACACTGGAATTTCAAGGCACCTGATGTTACAACCTTGCTAACAGCAGAAAGCAGATTCGTTTCTCTTTGATACCCGGGATAATGTGAAATATGTAACATGTGATAATCCTAAATGATGTGTTTTAAATAAATACAATACAGCTTCAGAGGAATACTGCAATCCTAGGCACATTGCACAGAGAAGATCTGTTGAATTCAGCTACTCCTTTGCAGCAATGAACTGTTGTTATGTATTGTCCATCAACATTTTAATTCCTTTGAGAGGATTGGGTTGTTATGGTTTGATTTATTTTTTAACCAATGGACTTTTGAATAATCCATCCAAAAGGTTTTTGAAGTTATTCATTGATAAAATAATTAACAAACCATCTAGTTTTCTTCCCTCCTCTCCTTTTTCTTCTCTTTTTAACTTATGGTGGGAGTTGTTACATTTGAAGTGAACTTGTACATTCCTTGAATGTATATCTAGTTTTCTTCATTAGTTGCAGTACATTAATATTATTTTAAAAGAAACAATTACATAATTAAGAATGTATTTCTAAGTAGCTATGTAAAAACTGCTGTGTAAATCAGTGAAATTCTGGTAATCCTTAATGAAAAAGTTTCTTATGTATTTCTTATTCTTTTGCAGCTTTGCTTCATATTGTGCCCCAAGTATACTCATCTGCAGGTAACGTTTCAGTTTTCCTTCCTACTTCCTTCCTTCCTTCCTTCCTTCCTTCCTTCCTTCCTTCCTTCCTTCCTTCCTTCCTTCCTTCCTTCCTTCCTTCTTTCCTTCCATCCATCCATCCACATAATATACCAAAAGGATGAATACCTCATCCAAGAAGTTTCTTTAGTTCTGACTGAATGGTGGGGAGTGGAAGGACTTATATTCCTTGCAGTCATCTGGTCATTAGTACTTTTTGAGAGTTGTTCAGGACACTTGGAGGTTTGTCTGTGCTCTCAGGGCCACCTGAATAGTGCAAATGGGGTGTGGAACCTTTTTGGAACTGGCTGAAATGATTGTGTTGTAATTGTGTTGGGACTTTCAGCAGTTCCCAAAAGGTTCCACACCCCATTTGCACTATTCAGGTGGCCCTGAGGGCACAGAAAAACCTCCAAGTGTCCTGAACCACTCTCAAAAAGAGTACTAATGACCAGATGACTGCAAGGACTATAAATCCTTCCATTCTCTACCATTCAATCAGAGCTGAAGAAGCTTCTTCAATGAGAAGCAAAACATCTTTAAGGAAAAATAAAGAAAGTCCAGTTGCTTCTTGAAAAAGCACCTTTGGGACAACCATGACCTGGATGACTGAGAATCTCTGTAGACATCTCTCGATTACAGGGAATTGGATGAAAACTAGAAACTAACTCACTATTACTCAGCCAGGTTAAGATAAAAAATATATTATATGCTTCATGCCCATGCAGTTCTGAAAAAGAGGGTTGCTCTCCCCACCTTAAGATTTTTCTGACCTGTTGCCCATCCATGCCAATGAATGGATCCAAGACATCAGGGCATTCTATTGACATATAACAGGAGTTTGTGTGGACAAGCAACAACATCTGGTGTATGTTTCATGGATCACAAAGGGCAAAACAAATTCATCCAACTCGTGATGCTCAAGAGTGAAACATTCACCTCTGGTTGTTCTATCTTTATCTGCAGTATAAAGAAACAGAAACCAAGTCTTTTCAAGAACTGATGATTTGTTTCTTGCATCAGTGGAAGTAGAAATGTTGGCTTATTCTTTTCTGTTTTAACTCAGTCATACTTGCAAAAGCTTTCTAACAAACAACTCCCTTCTGCTAAAATGGGAGGAAGAAGGAAGAAATATTTGTTCACCAAACCGTTCTTGAGTTAATGATAAGAATCTTGACATGTGCAATAAATCTCTCTCTATTTTATTTTATTTTTTATTTTATTTTTTTGCTTTTTCCATCTTCTAACCACCCATTCCTATAATTTCTGTAATTTGTGCTGTTGATCTCTCTCATTTTATCCTACTTGTTACCTTATAAACTTCTGAAAATCATCTCCCATGTTTCAGGATCTGCATCACACAAACGCTATACTTAAAAGTGGAGAAAATTTAGTTCTTTCCACTATATACAAACATTTCAATGCGTAATAGAGAATTCCTTCCTTTTGCTAACAGCAACGAGTTTAAATGCATGCAACAAATGAAATCAAATCTGGCCATTTCTTAATTATGTTAACAATATTTCCCTTATATCTCAAACACGTCACACCGATTCAGCTCACACTAAAAACATTGGAAATATCTGTTTAGAATCAAGCTTCCATTTCATGCAAAACATATGCTTCAAAATATGCAGGGAAAGGCTTCATGGAGACCTTGCTAGCAACTTCTTAAAGGAGCCATGCCTTTTCACCAGCCGGATTCAGTCAAATCTTTGTTATGATGCCAAACATTAAATCAGTGGTTCTCAACCTGTGGGTTGGGACCCCATTTGGGGTCGAACGACCATTTCACGGGGGTCGCCAAACAACGCAGTCCGCCATTTTTTTCCCCTTTTCCTTAGCTGTGCCACTCCCTTTTATTCTATTGGCTTTTGAAAGCCAATAGAATAGACTCTCTTGAATGGAGTCTAAGTCTATTGGCTTTCAAAAGCCAATAGGAATTGTCCAGGCTGTCTCTGCCCTGCTGAGCCCGCCAAAAGTCCCATTCTGCAAACGGTGCTGCACCAGTTGAGTAGTCCTCGACTTACGACCGGTTGAGTAGTCCTCGACTTACAACCGGTTGGGGGGTCGCAGCATTAAAAAGGTTGAGAACCACTACATTAAATAAATAAATACAATGGAAGATCAGAAGTTCTATCACAACACATAAAAATAGGTAGAGGAGAGCGAAAAGCTGCAACCCAGGAAAAGACATGCTTGTTTTAAGGAGTTTCAGGAAATGCCTCTCTGCACACTGCTTATCTTTGAATCTAAAATAATGCAGGGTCTTCATTTAGAATGTTTTCATTTGTGTTTAATGGAGTGTGTAACACACATTTTACATTGCTTTATTCCCCCTCCCCCCGCCGCCGCGAGATGGGATTCTTGCTTTTAAATCTGCAATTCTTCACTTTTCTAGTAAATTGAACAAACTGCCATCACCAATATCAAATGTCTGGAGAGAGAGAAGGGCTTAAATGACAACTATTGTGAGAGAATAGAATAGAATAGAAGAGAAGAGAAGAGAAGAGAAGAGAAGAGAAGAGAAGAGAAGAGTCGAGTCTTTATTGGCCAAGTGTGATTGGACACACAAGGAATTTGTTTCCGGTGCATAAGCTCTCAGTGTACATACAAACAACAGAGTGATAAATCATAAATCGTAAGATACAACCAGCATGTGATAGTCATAAGATACCAAGAGGAGTAGGTAATAGAAAAGGTGAGAAGGATAATAGTAATACTACATGGGTAAATATCCTTATAGGCATAAGACAGTGCTGTGGGAATTATATGTTTATCAGAGTTATGGAGGGGAACTTTCTTTGTGTCTAGTTGTTTTGACATGCAATGCCCTACAGTAGCAATCTAAGGGGAGAAGTTGAAACAGTTTAGGTCCAGGATGTGAGGGGTTCATAGATATTTTCTCAGCCCTCTTTCTGGCCCGTGAAGTATACAAGTCCTCAATAGCAATAAGATTTATATACTGCTTCACAGTGTTTTACAGTCCTCTAAGCAGTTTATAGAGTCAGCATATTGCCCCCAACAATCTGGATCCTCATTTTACTGACCTCGGAAGGATAGAAGGCTGAGTCAACCTTGAGCTGGTGAGACTCGAACTTCTGAACTGCTGACAGCTAGCAGTCAGCAGAAGTAGCCTGCAGTACTGCATTCTAACCACTGTGCCATCATGTTCTTATACAAGTCCTCAATAGCAATAGCAGTTAGACTTTTATACCACTTCATAGTGCTTTAAGCTCTCTCTAAGCGGTTTTCAGAGTTAGCATATTGCATCCAATGATCTGGATTCTCATTTTACTGACCTCAAAAGGATGGAAGGATGAGTCAACCTTGAGCCAATTAGGATCGAACTACTAGCAATGGGTACAATCAGCCTGCAATAATAATATTCTAATCACTGCGCTACCACAGCTGTTCAATGAAAGGCAAGCTGGTTACAATTGTTTTTTCTGCAGTCCTAACTATCCAGTGAAGTACTTGTCCCTGTCCCGTTTGGTTGCTGTGCCAAACCAGACAGTTATAGAAGTACAAATGACAGACTCAATCATTCCTCTGCAGAACTGTAACAGCAGATCAGTGGGCAGTCTGAGCCTTCACTGGTGTGAGGCCATAGGTGCAAAACCGAAGATTCCTGCATGCTTAGAAAATAATTCAAAAGTTTCTTTAGGTTATTCACAAGCACTTCGCTGCTATTTATGTTTTTATAGGCTTCTGCAAGCCTTAGAAAAGAACAGTGGCTGCTTTAAGGAGTGGATTTATTAAAGGTCACGAAACTTTTCAAGCAGCCTTATCTTATTTTTTTTCCCCAAGCTTCGCCTTGAAAGTGAAAATAAAAGGGCTGCTTAAATCAGTAGCAGAGGAACTGGCTTGGTAAGGAGCCAAAGTATGAAACTCTTCTTCTGAGTCATCCTTGAGGTCTACCCAGTCTCCTGTGTATCACAAATAGTAGGAAATTCTGAAGAAAAGGAGGGGGGGACACGCCCGACTAGCAGTGGTCGTGATCCAACTCTTACTTCTCAAATTAAAGATTGCTGACAAGTCAGAAAGTAAATTCAAGTGTTTCCCAATTTGGCTGCTTTTTAATTATGTAAGCTTTCCTGCTTGGATGCATGATCTTGTTTGTTAGCAACCAGATTTTTTTTGCTAAGTTTTATCTTTGAGCTACCTCTGAACACTTTTTTTAAAAAAAATTAAACCAATGTGCAAATTTTATCATTTCAAAAGCAAAGAGAGATTTTGCTTATACAGGTAGCCCTCAACTTATAATTGAGCCCAAAATTTCTCTTGCTAAGTGAGACATTTCTTAAGTGAGTTTTTCCCCATTTTATTACCTTTCTTGCCACAGTTGTTAAGTGAATCACCACAGTTGTTAGGTTAGTAATCCAGCTGTTAAGTGAATCTGGTTTCCCCTTTAACTGGGCTTATCAGAAGGTCTTAAAAGGTGATCACAGGACCGTGGGACACTGCAACCATCATAAATATGAGTCAGCTGCCAAGTGTCTGAATTTTTGATCACGTGACCATGGGGATGCTGCAACAGTTGTAAGTGTGAAAAATGGTAGTAAGCAGGGCTTTTTTTCCTCATAGAATGCCCAGAACGGAGTTCCGGCACCTTTTTTGGATGGAACCTTGTAGAGTAGGCAAGGCGGGTTGTATGATGTGTGTGAGTTCCGGCACCTTTTTTTTTTTTTTTTTTAGAAAAAAAACTCTGGTAGTAAGTCAGTGCTGTTGTAACTTTGAAAAGTCACTAAATGAACTGTTGTAAGACGAGGACTATCTGTACTCATTTTGCAACTACAATGGAGATGAGTAACTTGGTCGTTAAATGAAGCATTGCCCATTGCTTATGATCTGTCTTCAGTTTTCCTTTGTTCTACAGACCTGAAAAGTTCTGTAAAAATTGTTGCTAAATGAGGCAATCACTAAGTATGACTATCTGTACTATCATGCAACTTTCCTGAATAATACATGAAGTTCCCCAGATTTGCTTTATAAGTTTATAAGATTTATAAGGCCACCCAATTCAAGTATATGGTCAGGGAACACCATATAAGAAAACAATAAACCCTCAGCCCCTCCAATCATATAACATCAACATCATATAAATCAAACATAATAATAATAGTAAAGTTGGAAGGGACTTTGGAGATCATCTAGTCCAACCTCCTGCTCAGGCAGGAAACTCTATACCATTTCAGACAAATGGCTGTCCAGTCTCTTCTTAAAATTCTCCAGTGTTGGAGCATTCACCGCTTCTGGAGGCAGGTTGTTCCACTGGTTAATTGTCAGGAAGTTTCTCCTTAGTTTTAGGTTGCTTCTCTCTTTGGTTAGTTTCTATCTCTTGCTTCTTGTCCTGCCTTCAGGCGCCTTGGAAAATAGCTTGACTCCCTCTTCTTTGTGGCAGCCTCTGAGATATTGGAACACTGCTATCATGTCCCCCCTTGTCCTTCTCTCCATTAAACTAGACATATCCTTCTCTTCATTAAACTAGACAACAGCAACCATTCCTTATATGCTTTAGCCTCCAGTCCCCTAATCATCTTTGTTGCTCTTCTCTGTACTCTTTCTAGAGTCTCAACATCTTTTTTACATCATGGTGACCAAAACTGGATGCAGTATTCCAAGTGTGGCCTGACCAAGGCATTGTAAAATGGTATTAACACTTCACCTGATCTTGATTCTATCCCTCTGTTAATGCAGCCCAGCACTGTGTTGGCTTTTTTGGCAGCTGCAGAACACTGCTGGCTCATATTTAGGTGATTGTCCACTAGGACTCCAAGATCCGTCTCACAGTTACTACTATTGAGCAAGTTACCCCCTATATTATACTTGTGCATTTGGTTTTTCTTGCCTAAATGCTTTTTTCACCATTGAATTTCGTTTTGTTAGGTAGTACCCAGTGTTCAAGTCTATCCAGATCCTTCTGTATCTTAAGCCTGTCTTCTGGAGTGTTGGCTATTCCTGCCAGCTTAGTGTCGTCTGCAAATTTGATGAATTCCCCATCTATCCCCTCGTCCAAATCATTGATATAGATGTTGAAGGGCACTGGGCCCAGAACAGAGCCCTGGGGCACCCCACTACACACTTCCCTCCATGTAGATGAGATTCCATTGAGGACCACACGCTGAGTACGGCCGATCAGCCAGCTACAGATCCAACTGGTGGTGGTGCTTTCTACCCCACATTTTTCTATCTTGTCAAGTAGTAGGTTGTGATCTATTTTATCAAATGCCTTACTGAAGTCCAAGTAAATTATATCCACAGCATTCCTCTGATCCACTAATTTTGTCACTTGGTCAAAGAATGCAATAAGATTTGTCTGGCATGATCTATTTTTGACAAACCCGTGTTGGCTTTTAGTAATGACTTTGTTTGCCTCTAGGTGTTCATTGATTCATTGTTTGATTATCTTTTCCAGAATCTTCCCAGGTATTGAGGTCAGGCTAATAGGTCTGTAATTTCCTGGGTCCATTTTTTCCCCTTTTTTGAAGATGGGAACTACATCAACTCTTTTCCAGTCCTCTGGTAGTTCCTCTGTGCTCCAGGATCTTTGAAAAATATAGTTCAGTGGTTCTGAGATCACATCTGTGCCAGTTCCTAGAGAATCTTGGGGTGTAATTTATCTGGTCCTGGCGATTTGAACTGGTCTAGGCTACACAGGTGCTCACTTACCATTTTCTTGCCTATCTTAACTTGTGTTTCTGTTCTGTTTTTTATGGCACTATTTTTGATAGGTTGGTGTGTTTTTTCCCTTTGTGTAAAGACAGATGCAAAAAATGAGTTAAATAGTTCTGCTTTCTCCCTGTTGCTTGTCACCTTCTTGCCACTTTCACCCAATAATGGACCAATCATTTCCTTCACTTTTTTCTTGTTTTTTTCATGTTAAAAGAAGCTTTTTTTGTTATTTTTGACTTTGGTCGCAAGCCTTAGTTCATTTTGAGCCTTGGCTTTCCTCACTTCATCTTTCACTTCAACACTATATAGATATAAAAATATAATGTTTAGTTGGATTGGATCTCAGCCTGGGTTTTGAAACTGGCTTTTGATAACTCAACCATCTGGATCTGTCTAATTTTTATGTATTTAATTGCCTTTTGTATTTAATTGCTTTGTTTTTAATTGCAGAGCTTCTAACTCGACCCACACTTTCTGTGGAGCCTGTGTACCAGGAATATTATGAAGGAGATGAAATCAGGTTGATCTGCTCAGCTGTTCGGAACTTGACCGTGCTGCGAAACTCGATGGTGCAAGGTTACCGATTCTTCCAAGAAGATGGGCAACAGATTCATCAAACGGCCCCTAACGCTTACAGAGATGGCATAATGGATATTCAGACACAGATGAATAGCACCGGAAATTACAGCTGTGCATATTGGCTGGAAGAAGCAGGCAGGGAGGTTCAGTCGGATCAAAGTCTCACCACCAGCATCCAAGTGAATGGTAGATCACATTTATTATAATCCTGAAGAGTATAAGGAAGCTTCTGTGAAGTCAGTTCTCCCATTTTCATGAAATCAGCTGAGAAATTTAAGGAACTACGACATTATGTTCCCCATTGTAGTCCAGGAGACAATGCTCTCTCTCTCTCTCTCTCTCTCTCTCTCTCTCTCTCTCTCTCTCTCTCTCTCTCTCTCTCTCTCCCTCCCTCCCTCTCTCTCTCTCCTATCTATCTATCTATCTATCTATCTATCTATCTATCTATCTATCCAGTGGTGGGATTCAAATATATGAACAACTGGTTCTCTGTGTAGAGGCTGCTTCTGGAAGTCCATTCTGGGCCTGGGCAACAAAAAATTAGTTACCGGTTCTACCAAATTGGTGCAAACTGGCTGAATCCCACCACTGTATCTATCTATTACCCATCTATATCATCTTTCTATCTGATTTATATCCTGCTTTTATTATGTTTACAAATAACGTAAGGCGGCAAACATAATTAACTCCTATTGTCCCCACAGCAATGACCCTATGAGGTGGCCTGGGCTGACAGAGAGTGACTAGCCCACAGTCATATAGCCAGCTTAGCACCCCTTTTTCTCAGAAGACATAGAATGGGTTTTGCCTCCGTAGCACCCTTTGCACCATCAAAATCCCTTTGTTTTGGTTTTATTTCCTAGGCACACAATTATACTTTTCAAAAAAGCACTGGGCCACAGAGTATGGCACCATAGACAGGCAGACGAGATGGGAGAGAGAAGCTTGGCAAAGACTGAATGTTAATTATGCACTTCTAGAAAAGTAGGCACTGACTGAATGTTACTAAAATTCTAACAATAAGAAGAGTTAGTGGTAGTCAGTGACCAGAGAGATGATAGGCTTGCCTCTCAAAAAAAAAAAAAAAAAAAAAAAGGCAAATATATGTGTCCTAGGATAATGTTGCAGGATTCTATCTGGGTCAGTCATCAGGACCAGTGGTTTAGTCTTTTGGACTTGTGCTGGAGCCCATCCTCTCTAACAGAATGTATGAGAGAGAAGTTTGTTGAAGATGGGCTCCGGCAAAGGTCTGAAAGCTCAGAAGACTAAACATCTAGTCCTGGTGATGTACCCAGATTGGATCCTGCAGGCTCTCCTCTGTTGTGTGTTCTCAAGCAGAGGCTGTTTGGGATATTTTAATCTGGGTTTCTGCACCGAGCAGTAGATTGGGCTCATCATGGTGTAGAAAGAAAAATCTTCATCAGGGTCCAGTCCAAGCTGGGAATAAACAAATTGGAGACTGCTTTAGAAAGAAGGTTGCAGTTTATGAAGAGGAGAGCCAAACAGAAAGATGGCTTTGGGAAAACTGATCACATGTAGCAGGGAGTGGTGGGTTTTTATACCTTCTGGGGCTCTTGAGGTTGTTTCCTGTTCCTGTATGAGGCTTTGTAGTTCCTGTGTCATGTACTTTGACCTGGGTCTGAGTGTGCTCTTTTGGTATTGGTGGGTTAATTCTATTATGTCTGCTGTCCTTAGAATTTGGGTGGGGGTATGTAGATTTTAGGTGTCTTTGTCTTCCTATAGCTTCCTGGCTCCAACCGTCCTGAGTGGATTATTACACCTACATTTCTAAAAGCTGGCCTCTGCCTTGTTTCTGCTTGGGGGGAGAGGGGCTGGTGCTGGTTTCTGGGTGCTGGCTTCTGTCTTTTTAAGATCTTCTCCATTATTCCTTTGGGGAAATATATTCTGCTTTTTTAATATTCCCCCAAATATTTCTTTCACTGGATTCTTCCCACAATGGCTTTTATCTAGAGGTGTTTGTTTTACTTTTTATTTATTTATTCCTCAGGCAAGCCCACAGCCTAAAATCTTACAGCGGTCTCTCTCCAAGGATTAAGTAGCTGCAAACTTGCTGAGCTTCTACAGATCAGCCTGGGGTTCTAGACTCAAAATTGCAGAAGGAACTTGGGACTGTTGCATCATTTGCTGCAACAATACTGGAGAGAAGATGGTTGGGGGTGAAACTTGGGGCAAAGCAGTTTGTAAAATGGTAAAATCATAACTTCTTTCGTAAGAAGTTTAAAACTGTTGAAAGAAAAATCATCAAGTCCAATCCAAGCTGGGAATAAATAAAATGGAGGCTGTTTGGAAAGAACGTTCTGTGTATTGAAGAATAGAACCAACAGCATGTGGTTCTGGGATAGCTAACAAAATGCAGTTGGGAGTGGGTGGGTTTTTATACCTTCTTTGGGTTTTGTATTTCAGGTTGTTCCTGTTCCTGTGCAATGTACTTTGATTTGACCTTTAGTGTGCCCTTTTGGTATTCTAATGGTGGTGGGTTAATCCTATTATGTCCTAAAGGTCATGTTCCTGTCCTTGGAATCTTTGTTTTTCTAATCCCCTCAGCTCTAGCCTTCCTGCCCCAGTTTCCCTGAATGAATTACCAAATTTGCATTTTTAAAATCTGGGCTGCTTGGGAGAAGGAGACTGGGGATTGGTTTCTGCCTAAGATTTTTCTCCATTATTCCTTCAAGGAAATATAATAATCTGCCTTTTTTTAATATCCTCCCAAATATTTCCTTCTTTAGGTGCTGACTTCCAACAAAACCAAGAAACACTGAATCGGGCCCAAATTATAAACAATAAGAACATAGCTAGCAGCAACCAACTGGTTAAACATCTTTGCTGCAGCATGTACATATAAAATAATAAACAAGTTCATTTAATAAAAGGCTTGGGGAAAATTTATTTAAAGTTCCTTGTTCTTTATATAAACCTTATCTAGCCTGGAAATACTGCAGAGAAGATAAAGACTATATATATTATTATTTTTTCAATATAAAAGGCAAATAAAATAAAGATAATGGAAAAAAAGGAAAGGGTAAGGGAAGTGGGGAAAGGAAATGAAGTGAGGGAAAGAAAAGAAATAAATAAAAAGCAGTGACTTCCAACATCTTTTGGTGCAGTAAGATAGAATTATAGTATCAACCTTTTATTTATATAAAATAGTAAATACTAGATGAATTTTTAAAGTGAATAAGTTAAATACCGTATGATTCAATTGACAAGAAATTTTGGTTATAACATAATGCTGGAGCAATCGGAAAATCCATGGACTAAATGATTGAAATTTGCATTGTCTTAAAACCTTAAAGAGATTTTCTATATTATATATTTGTGTATATATGTGCGTATATATGTGTATATATATTAATCTCTGTTTTAACGCTGCAATTTTCAGTATATATATATATATATATATATATATATATATATATATATATATATATATATATATATATATATATACATACACATATAGAGATAGATAGATAACCCTAACCTTACAACAGACTTACAATGGAAACCAGAAATTTTTCTTTTAGGACTATTGGATAAAGACATTTTTTAAAATTCTAGAACTCTGACAGTGGTGAGAATTTTATGCTGTAAAGGCTTACTTTTGTATTTAGCTGAAGGGAGGGCACCAGTCAACCAAATGAGAGAAGAAGAAAAAAGAATCTGCTATGGGGAACTTCTGAGTGATAAGTTTCTATATTAGCAAATAGCTTCCTGGTTAAAGGAAACTAAAGATACATATGCCATCTGGTGATCAGAATGTGCTAGTACATCTACATCTTTCACAACACAGGTTCTCTCCACAGACAGACAGATACATTATATATATAATTTGTACATGGGTGGGTTTCTGTGTCTGTCTGCTGTGAAGAGAACCTGTGTTGTGAAAGATGAAGCTGTACTAGCACATTGTGATCACCAGATGGCAGCAAAACATACATTTATACTTTATATTGACTTTTTCCCCGCTTACTAAACTACTGTTTCCCCAAAGTAACTTGGTACTTGGAAGGAAGACCACCAACAAATCCTGCAGCTGTAGGCCATGCTAGGAAGGTAGATGATATAGATGATGGTGAGATGATGATAGATAGATAGATAGATAGATAGATAGATAGATAGATAGATAGATAGATAGATAGATAGATAGATAGATAGATAGAGAGATAGAGAGATGGATGGATGGATGGATGGATGGATGGATGGATGGATGGATGGATGGATGGATGGATAGATAGATATAGAGGCAGTCTTTGATTATGACCACAATTGAGCCCAAAATTGCTAAGTGATTCATGCAGTTGTTAAGCAAATATGGCTTCCCCTATTGACTCCACTTGTTGGAAGCCCACTGGGAAGGTCACAAAAGGTGATCACATGACCCCAGGGCAATGCAACTGTCATAAATATATGCCATTTGCCAAATCCCCAAATTTTGGTCGGGTGACCATGAGGATGCTGCAACAGTCATAAGTGTAAAAAACAGTCTTAAGTAAGAATGGCAAGGCAAGGAAAGGAAAGGAAAGAATAGGCAAGGCAAGGCAAGGCAAGGAAAGGAAAGGAAAGGAAAGGAAAGGTGGAAGGAAGGAAGGAAGGAAGGAAGGAAGGAAGGAAGGAAGGAAGGAAGGAAGGAAGGAAGGAAGGAAGGAAGGAAATATTCTCTAACAGCTATCTCAAAGGACTGCCCATGTTAGCATTCTCAACTGTTAACTCAGCTGGCTAGACGTTATAGCATAGAGAGTGTATTCTTCTTATCAGGTGATCTCCCAAACTGTCAGGTCCACACCCTCTTCATCCCAGCATCCTTCCAGATTCATTGCAGAGCCCAGAGCTCCTAGACTAGATCTCCTATAGAACACTCTTCTACATTAGCATGGGCCAAGATATTCAGACAAGACACTGAATCGGAAAATGGCAAACCACATTTATGGCTAAACCAACCTCTTTATTTAAATTATGGCTCAATGTAATAGATGAACCCCAAGACTGAGTTTCTTGAAAGAACTAAAAAAAATACACATGCAGGAATAGCTCTGGCATATGAAGGAAACTACTGAATTTCCATGGGTTTAGTTTCAAGACTACAACAACTGGCTGCAAGATTATTTAAATATAACCAAGTCTGTTTAATTATAGCATGTTTTCATACATCTGCATTTCTGTTTGTGCATGCCAATTCATGTTTGAGGAGGCAGGTAGATTAGCAAACGTAAGTTCAGAGAAAAGGTAAATGGAATCGCTGCAGCCAGTGATAATTGCTAATAGTCGTCATTCACAAAAGCGCTGCTGGGTTTTGTAACAATTCCATGCTCGCTCTGCCTATATCAGTGGTTCTCAACCTGTGGGTCGGGACCCCATTTGGGGTCGAATGACCATTTCACGGGGATCGCCAAACAACGCAGTCTGCCATTTTTCCCCCCTTTTCCTTAGCTGTGCTACTCCCTTTTATTCTATTGGCTTTTGAAAGCCAATAGAATAGACTCTCTTGAATAGAGTCTAATTCTATTGGCTTTCAAAACCCAATAGGAATTGTCCAAGCTGTCTCTGCCCTGCTGAGCCTGCCAAAAGTCCCATTCTGCAAATGGTGCTGCACCCAGTTGAGTAGTCCTCGACTTACGACCGGTTGAGTAGTCCTCGACTTACGACCGGTTGGGGGTCGCGGCATTAAAAAGGTTGAGAACCACTGGCCTATATGATAAGAAACGTCCCTTCAAGGGGATGTTTAAGATAGGACAAGAACAATTACTTGTTCTTAATTAACCTGACTTCTTTGTGAGAATCACCATGCAGTGAATTCTAAGAGGGTTTTTGAAGGAATAATATACCTAGTTCACCTAAGTTAGCTAAATGTCTATGGAGATTCTCAGTCATCCAGGTCATGGTTGTCCCAAAGCTGCTTTTTCAAGGGGCAACTGGACTTCCATGTTTTTCTTTGAAGATGTTTCGCTTCTCATCCAAGAAACACTTCAGAGCTGGAAAAGCTGCTTGGATGAGAAGTGAAATGTCTTCAAGGAAAAACAAAGAACGCCCAGTGGCTTCTTGAAAAAGCACCTTTGAGGCAAGGTCATATAAGATGATCCAGTTAGTATTACTATGTGTAAAACTGAGACTGAAAATGGGCATCTCATTCCTTCCTCTCACAAAGGAAAAGACATAGAATCATAGCAGTGTTCCAATATTTGAGGGGCTTCTGCAAGGACAAGGGGTTCAAACTATTTTCCAAAGCACCAGAAGGCAAGACAAGAAATAATGGATGGAAACTAACCAAGGAGAGAAGCAGCCTAGAACTAAGGAGAGATTTTCTGATGGTGAGAACAATTAAACGGTGGAACGACTTGCCTCCATAAGTTCTGAGTGCTCCATCACTGGAGGTTTTTAAAAAGAGACTGGACAGCCATTTGTCTGAAATTAAATAGCGTCTCCTGCTCAAGCTAGGGGTTGGACTAGAGTAGACGACCTCCAAGGTTCCTTCTAATTGTTCTATGTTCATTATTTGCCCTTGAGGAGAAGCTAAAAAGCAAGGAAGACATTCCAGTGCTGAACATGTATTTTTCTTTCTTTCTTTTTTTTCAGCAGCCCCATCAGCTCCATCTCTGAATTACAGGATTTTCAACCATGGAAAGAACATCACCCTGGAATGCTCAGCTCCACCTGAAGCTAATAAAATTGAGCAGTTTCGCTTCATTGGAGACAAAATGGTTGTCTTGGTCAAGGCTGAAGTCAATAGCACATACAGTCTAAATGATGCAAAAGACAAGTATGTAGGGACCGTTTGGTGTGCCTATGCTCAGCATCTCCATGGAAGAAACGTTCTTTCCAGGATCAGCAATCCAGTTTTCCTCGAAAGGCTAGGTAATGTTGCTTCTAGGGATCCCATGTTCTTTTTTTCTTCTGACATGCTACTGAAAATCTATAGAGATTCTCAGTCTTCTGGGTCATGGTTGTCCCAAAGGTGCTGTTTCAAGAGGCCAACTGGACTTTCTTTGTTTTTCCTTGAAGACGTTTTCACTTCTTCTTCCAAGAAGCTTCTTCAGTTCTGAAGAAATTCTTCATTTCTGAAGAAGCTTCTTGGATGAAAAGCGAAAACGTTTTCAAGGAAAAAACAAAGGTTGGCCAGTTGCCTCTTCAAAAACCACCTTTGGAACATGCTGCTGGCCCAGAGAACAAGAAGGTGCCTAGAAGGTGTGGGAGATTGCTGTGAGATCAAAAATGATAGAGAGACCACGGAGCTCACTAAAGCTGCTTTTGGAATGATGAATAAGCACTGTTTGATAGAAAAAAAGCCAAAAATAATCAGTCTAATCTGATTCTGAATAAGAATGCTTGCCTGTTTATCAAGCGATGCGAGGATGTGGTAAGTTTGTGTTGAAAAAACAATCAGCACTTCTTTTCTCTCTTCAAATGTAGGCGTCAGATGGGTTCGATTGTTGGCTGTCGGTGGGAGTTTCTTCACCATCAATGGTCTCATCTTCTTAACCTCCTATTGTATTTCTTTAAGAAGCAGGTAAGGCAGACTGGGGGCACTGCGAGAAAGATACTCTCTTTAGGGATCAGTACCTTTGAGAAGATGAATTGACAAAGGTGGGATTTACACAGCCAGGAAGAGACAAGAATAGAAATCTCCAGAATAGTCATCTCAATCTTCTTCAATGACTTCTTCCTAACAAAGAAGGATTCTAGTACCCATTATCCCATCACGAGGCCTAGCTAAGGATGATGGGGACTGTAGGACAACACCCAAAGGCCCTGTTTTGTCCCATTAAGGACTTAAATCAGGAGTTTCTTGACTCAAGAAATAAATCTGACCTTTGCAAAGATTGGCATATTCCAAAAAAAGTGGGAAAAAAGGCCAGAGAAGATACTGGTGAAACCATGAAAAAAAAAAAATTAAGTGTGTTCCTTGAGATGACTTCCTCCACCCAGGATAGTTGCTACCAATAGTTTTAGGAACTACATCCATGATTCTGTATGTGATCCTGAGGTCAGGTAGCCCACCATTGCCTTTAATGATCTAGGACTACAGTATTTTAAGGCCTAGTTTTCTTGTGAAGGAAGGCAAATATATGTGTCCCAGTATAATGTTGCAAGATCCAATCTGGGTCTATCACCAGGACCAGAGGTTTAGTCTTCTGAGCTTTTGGACTTGTGCTGGAGCCCATCCTCAGCAAATTTCTCTGTACTAAGTTCTCAGAGGATGGGCTCCGGCATGAGTCCAAAAGCTCAGAAGACTAAACCTCTGGTCCTGGGGACCGACACAAATTGGATCCTACTTTTCTTCTTTTGGACACTATGATGTACTTAAACTAGAAACAAGTCTTTAGAAACTTTTAAATTTTGGCCTTGATAGCATGACATAGGATGGAGCACAGGGACAATGTTCCCATTCCCACAATATCTAAACCCATTCAGCTACTCACTGAGTCAAATCTCTACTGGTGGCCCACTAGAAGGGCACAATCACAGGAACTGGGTCAAAAAGGTCTAGGCTGCAAATCTCTGAATGGCATTGGTGGCACCAAAAAGGCTGAGAAAAATCTCTTTGCTGCCATCTCTTGGTTGGCCAGGGTTTTGAAGACAAATATATTAGCTTTGATGTGGAGAATGCCACATTTATACCACCAGGAAGTGGCTGATATTCCATAAATCCTTGTGGCAAAGACTTGAAAAGTCTTCATGGCATACTTAGTGTCTCTCTCTCTCCCTCCCTCCCTCCTCCCTCCCTCTCTCTCTCTCTCTCTCTCTCTCTCTCTCTCTCTCTCTCTCTCTCTCTCTCTCTCTCTCTCTCTCTCTCTTTTCTCTCTTTCTCTTCCATCTTTGGCCTTAAAGCAGGAGAGGGTAAGACTTGGCTCCTGCAGCCAATTCAGAGGCATGTTCTTATCCTGCCCCACCTTAGGAATAAGTTCTGTCATTGGTTACTCTTTCTCTCCCACTCCTTTCCTTGCATGATTAAGTTCACAACATGATTCAATTGTCTGAGTTTTGATATTTCTGCAGTACAACTGTTTGGACAGTTGTTTAACTGTAAGCATGACCCCAGATGTTGTGTTGCAATCTGAAGATGTCATAATAGGCTCTATTATGATGAGGAGAAGGAGCAGAACCTCTGTCAACAGTCTACTTCCTTGAACAAAGTTTAAAATAGGGAATGTAGGAGATGACTAAGATGAGCCTGAGAGGCAGGGTCAAAAGTGTCATCAGTTTGGCATCTCTATGCCTCTATAAGAGACATAAGTCCAGCCTCCCTTGAAGTCCATTGATATCTGGCACCAATTTGCCTTGACCATTAGTGGTTCAGATTTTTGTGTACGCGTAGCATGAATTATACTTGTAGTACAGGTAGCACTCAAATTACAGCAGTTCATTTAGTGACCATTCAAAGTTACAACAGCACTGAAAATAGTGACTCGTGGCCGTTTTCACATTTTATGGCCATTGCTGCATCCCCATGGTTACCTGATCAGAATTCAGATGCTTGGCAACAGGCTCCTAGTTATGGTGGTTGCAGTATCCTTGGTCATGTGGCCACCTTTTGCAACCTTCTGACAAGCAAAGTCCATGGGGAAGCCAGATTCACTTAATAGCCTTGTTACTGACTTAACAACTGCAGTGATTCACTTAACAACTGTGGCAAGAAAGGTAGTAAAATGAGGGAAAAAATCACATTTAACAAATGTCTCACTAAGCAACATAAATGTTGGGCTCAGTGGTGGTCATAAGTCAAGGACTACCTGAACTTTTGAACTCTATCCTGGCTCCTGACTTCTTGTACCTGACAGGGAGGTCTACTCGAGGCTGAGATTTGAGGGCCTATATAAAACTTCCATCATATATCTTGGATAGTCCACTTACTGGTTGCAGCAGCAGCCAAAAAAGTTAATACAATCCTGGGTTGTATAAACAGAGGCATAGAATCAAGATCACATGAAGTATTAGTACCATTTTATAAAACCCTAGTAAGACCACACTTGGAATACTGCAGCCAATTTTGGTCTCCATATCACAAAAAAGATGTTGAGAGTCTGGAAAAAGTTCAGAGAAGAGAACTAAGATGATCAAAGGCCTGGAGACTAAAACATACGAAGAACAGCTGCAGGACTTGGGTTTGGCTAGTCTAAAGAAAATAAGGAATAGGGGAGACATGATAGCAGCGTTCCAGTATCTGAGGGGCTGCCACAAGGCAGAGAGGGTCACCAAAGCACCAAAGGGCAGGACAAGAAACAATGCTTGGAAACTGATCAAAGAGAGAAGCAACCTGGAATTAAGGAGAAACTTCCTGACAGTGGGGACAATCAGTGGAACAGTTTGCCTTCAGAAATTGTGGGCACTCCATCACTGGAGATCTTTAAGAAGAGACTAGACATTCCCCTGTCTGAGACGTATAGGTTCTCCTGCTTGAGCAGAGGGCTGGACTAGAAGACCTCCAAAGTCCCTTCCAGCTCTATTCTATTCTTACTAGATAGTGGATAAGCAACAGGAAATGGTGGTCTCCTCAAACCTGGCCTTTGAGCTTTCCACAGGCTGTTACAAGAATGCCCCCCTGTGTCAATTCTTCTACAGTATTATGTATTCTCAATATTTATCTCAACCAAACCGATACCTCCAAAGCATTGCCTGATTGTGATTTTGCGGCCTTAAATGGACTAACTCTAATCTTTAGCTATTCCTTTTTTTTTTTTTTACAGATCTCCTCTTCAGAAGACTTAAAGAACATCTGACCATTGTCTACCACATCAGCTTCTATTTGGTTGAAGTGTTGTTGAATTGATGGTCTTCCTCAGGTGCTTCAGCCAATGTATCAGACAAAATACAATGCCTTTCACCTTTCAATTACCCCCCCCCACAAAAAAAAAACTGAGATATTTTTGCATCCCTGCCTTTTCAGCTGAGATTATCCTGCAGTTCGGTGTTTCTCAAAAACCTATGAAAAATCTCAGCAAGAAGTTTGGACTTTTGCAAATTCCTGCTGCAGTTGCTCTTGTGGCTGTTACTTCTGCTGCTGTTTTTAAATAAACCAGGGTTTTCCCATGTCAATATCTTTCTGTTTGATATTTTTTTAAAAAAACAAAACAAAACTCTAGTGTGGTGAATATGACAAAGATACAAAATACCTGTCTCGGAAAAATTCCAAAATGAAATGGACAATATTTCCACAACAGTGAACCTAACTGGAAGCTACAGGTAAGTCCCTGACTTACAACCAATTGCTTAGCAACTATTTAAAGTTATGACAAACCTCTCAGGGGCTACTTACAACCTAGATTCAATGTACTGTTGGTCTCCCCCCCTCATAGTCACGTGATCACACTTTGGACAGTCAGCTATTAGACCAGCAAATGACAATTATGTGATTCCAGGATGCTGCAACTGTTGTAAGTGCCCAAAGTTGGTTGCATGATTGTGGGGATGGGGTAAACCACTGTAAGAGCAAGGCTGGTTGTAAGTCACTTTTTTTCCAATGTTGTTGCAACTTCGAACAGTGGCTGAACGAATGGTTGTAAGGACTAACTGTAATTTCCAGTTAGATTCACTGTTATGAAAATATTGTCCATTTCATCTCGGAAAATTGGCCAATCTACAGCGAGTGGACTTGAATATGTTCACTAGGGGAAATTGTACGGGATTTAGGATCCAATGTAAAACCTGCCCTTTTGCAACCTGTCTTCAAGAGGAAAATAAAAATGGCATTGGAGGCTTTTCTTTAAAGAAAGGAATAAATTTGGGGAAGAACTTCACAGGTGGCTTTTTGGGAAGTGAGATGGATGAGGGGATAGATGGAGAACTCATCAAATTTGCGGATGACACCAAGCTGGCAGGAATAGCCAACACTCCAGAAGACAGGCTTAGGATACAGTCCGCCTACTTGAAGGATTAATCACAAGAAAAATACATTATGGTTTGGAGAAGATGGATTGATTATATTCAAAAGAAATATGAAATTGATAAGTATTATCTTGCATATGTGTAGATGTTAGATAATTATTAATAGTTTTAATTATATTATTATTTGTGTTTTAATTTGTTAACATTTATTTTGAAAAGGAGTTAAAGTGTGTTATGGTTTTGTTTGATAGTATAGTTGGTTTATATTAGATCAATCATTCTCAACCTTTTTAATGCCGCGACCTCCCAACCGGTCGTAAGTCGAGGACTACTCAACCGGTTGTAAGTCGAGGACTACTCAACTGGTGCAGCACCGTTTGCAGAATGGGACTTTTGGCGGGCTCAGCAGGGCAGAGACAGCCTGGACAATTCCTATTGGCTTTTGAAAGCCAATAGAATTAGACTCTATTCAAGAGAGTCTATTCTATTGGCTTTCAAAAGCCAATAGAATAAAAGGGAGTAGCACCGCTAAGGAAAAGGGGGAAAAAATGGCGGACTGCGTTGTTTGGCGACCCCTGTGAAATGGTCGTTCGACGCCAAATAGGGTCCCGACCCACAGGTTGAGAACCACTGTGTTAGATAGATTATGTTTGTTTATTTATTACCCCGTGGTCAGCTCTGGGAAGTGGGGAAGGGGTGGGAGGGGTTTATACTGTAACATTTTATAAAATTTTTAATAAAAAAGAAGATACAGGAAGACCTGGACAGACTTGAACATTGGGCGCTATCTAACAAAATGAAATTCAATGGTGAAAAAAGCAAGGTTCTACATTTAAGCAAGAAAAACCAAATGTACAGGTATAGTATAGGGGATACCTTGCTCAATAGTAGTAACTGCCCTTCAGCCTCTCTTAAGTTCCCTTTCTTCTTCTTTTTTCCCCCTTCTTCTATCTTCTATCTTCATTCTTCTCACTCCATTCCGTTTTTATAAGTCCATATAGTCACCCCAGCTATCTCCTCGGCAAGCACCTTTCAGAGTTGCAAGTCATTGTCCCAGTCCAGTTCCTCCTGTCATTCAATCACTATTCCTTCCCAAAAAAGCCACCTTTTCATCAGCCGATCCGCTCAGAAATCAAAATCAAAGCCAAAAGTCAAGAATCTCAGACAGGTGCTCAGCATCAATTAAAATTAATTACTGTCCCTTTAAGGTAACTCTGAGTCTCTAATCCGTGCTTCCTGGCTTCCTCCTGGCGGGACCCTTTCCAGCCACTCTTCTTGCCACTTTCACTCGCTGCCTCCTCACTGCTACTCCGGCATTCTTTCTGCCAGGCTTTTGCTTTCAGTTATCCCTTTAAATGCGTCTTCCGAGTCTACTCACGAAAGCTTTGGGAAAATCAATCAAGTCAAGTCTGATACACCGTCATTCCGCTATTGCCTCACTAGCTCGGTCCAGCTGTCAAGTCATTCGGTGGCCATTGCTGGTCGCCTTCTTCCCGGTCCACTCGGTTCTGAGTTTCACCCTCTTCCCGTCGCCAGTCGCCACCAACGACAGAACAACAGGTCACCCACACCTTCCGCCACCCCTACGAGGCTTCTCTCGGCTCGAATGAGCCCCACGAACCTGGGACAAGCGATTGGCAATTCACTTAAATATGAGCCAGCAGTGTGCTGCAGCTGCCAAAAAAGCCAACACAGTGCTGGGCTGCATTAACAGAGGGATAGAATCAAGATCACATGAAGTATTAATACCACTTTACAATGCCTTGGTAAGGCCACACTTGGAATACTGCATCCAGTTTTGGTCACCATGATGTGAAAAAGATGTTGAGACTCTAGAAAGAGTACAGAGAAGAGTAAGTGCATAGGCGGCACTTACTGTCTGTTGCTGTCTTCTCAATTTTGACTTTATATGTATTTGTCCTTAAGGCTTGGTCTTGTGCAGCCAGAATTAGTCCCTTGGTCTCTTTCCTCAATTTTCCTGCTCTTAGCCATTGCCAGGTCTTGTTAATATCTGCTTTCCCAGCTATTTTTTTAATGTATTGGCCATGTAGTGCTTTGTCTTCCCATGCTTCTATTCTTTTCTTCATTTGGTCTTTCTTGTAGGCCAGTTTGGTCTCTCCAGTAATCAGTAAGCCTTCCTGATATACTAATTTCAGTGCATCTTCATCATTATTCTTCAGATATTCTTCCAAAGCCATTTTTTTTTCTTCAACCATCTGATGTACTTGTAGCATTCCACGCCCACCTATTTGCCTTGGTAGATAAAGTCTGTCAATGTCACTGCTTGGGTGAAGGGCATGATTCATTGTCATTATTTTTCTGATCTTCCTATCCATTGCTTTTAGTTCTGCTTGAGTCCAGTCCACTATTCCAGCTGTGTACCTAAGACTGGAATTGCCCAGGTGTTGATTGCCTTTATGGTATTTCCTCCATTGAGTTTGGACTTTAAGATCTTCTTCACTCTCTTGATGGATTCACCTGTAATCTTTTTCTTGACTTCAGTGTGCTTGATGTTGTCAGCTTGAAGGATACCCAAGTATATGTAGTAAGCTTCCTCATCCAGACTCTTAATCTTATTTTCGTGGGGCATCTTGATTCCTTCAGTTTTCACTACTTTTCCTTGTTTGATAGTAAGTGTGGCACATTTGTCCAAGCCAAACTCCATAACAATATCTTGGCGATATATACTTCTCAAGTATATATTCTGTTTCAGATGATGTTTTTCCATACAGCTTCAGATCATCCATGTAAAGGAGATGGGATAGTCTGGTAGATGTTTTTGATGTTTGATAGCCATGTCCTGAGTGATTCAGTATTTTTGTTGTTGTTGTTGTTGTTGTTGTTGTTGCTGCTGCTGTTGTTGTTGTTATTATTATTATTATTATTATTATTATTTGTTGCTGGGAAGCCTCCTGCATGATGCTAATGCTAGGAAGTAGATCAAGGATCCCAAACCTGGCCACTTTAAGACTTGTGGACTTCAATTCCCAGAATTCCTCATGTTGGCTGGAAAATTCTGGGAGTTGAAGTCCACAAGTCTTAAAGTGGCCAAGTTTGGGATCCCTGAAGTAGCTGACTGGAGAGGATGGACTTTCTAATTAGGTCAAGACTGTTTTTCTCCCTCGTGAGTACCATTAAGTTAACATTTTTGTCCCAAGAGCTCTGTAAAAGTACAGTAGCTACAGTAGCAGCAAAGAAAAATGAAACATCTATAATACTCACTCTACTTCTGAAACTTCAATCAAATTCAAGCTCAGCGTTTGAGATAAGAGACATCAAACTTTCAGCGCATTTGTGGCCAGCTCAGACACAAACTTAACCAGTATGGCTTTCCCCTTATAAAATTTGGCAGCTCCATATTACTTCTCAATAAAGGGGAAAGTACAGCCTATGGTGATCTAAAATTAGAAGAGCAACTCTTTTCTGGCTCACAGGAATGAATGAATGAATGAATGAATGAATGAACGAATGAATGAATGAACAAACAAGCAAATAAACAAATAAACAAACCTGTGTGTAAATGTATATATTGCACTAAATGAGAATTTGTTTTCTAGTGTTCTGATTCAGAATGATTTGGTAAACCTATACATCAGGGGGTCTTCAAACTTGGCCCTTTTATGACTTGTGGACTTCAACTCCCAGAATTCCTCAGCCAGCGTGCCTGGCCGAGGAATTCTGGGAGTTGAAGTCCACAAATCATAAAAGGGCCAAGTTTGAAGACCCCTACTATACATTGTAAACATGCTGGCTGGGGAATTCTGGGAGCTGAAGTCCACATGTCTTAAATTTGCTAAGTTTGAGAAACTCTGGATTAAGCAAACAATGACTTAGCACAGGAGTGGGAAGCTATTGGCAGTTAAGGCCTGCATTTTTGTTTGTGTAAGTATGTGTTTTTGTTGCTGAGCAGAAGGACAAAATGGGAAGTTATTGCTGATCCTACATGAAAGTAGGGCTAATACTGCAGAAGAGAGAGAGGGCGTATTTTAACTTTATTTTATTTTTTACCAACAGGCCTATTTACACCTCACATGTTTTCCCCTTTTTACCTCAAAATATGCTTCTTCTTTTTTGCAGACTTAGTCTGGATTTAAAGGGGACTTCAAATCTTCAGTTGACCTTCAATTATTAGATCACCCACTTTGTTTAAGCTTTTCTTTGTGACTGGTCAACCTCTTGGTGACAAACAGACACATCCATGGCCTCTCTTA